AGGAAGAATCAACAAGACTAGTAGTTGGTTCTATGAGAGGATCAATAAAATCGACAAACCACTGTCCAAATTGACAAAGGAAAAAAATGAGAAGTTGTGAATAACCAAGTAAGTAATGAGATGGATAGCATTATAACAGAACTAACTGAGATAAAAAGGAACATAACAAAATATTATGAAAAATTATACTCTAACGAATTTGAAAACCTAAAAGAAATGGACAAATTTCTAGAAACACACTACCAACAAAAGTAACACAAAAAGATGTAGAAATTTTTAACAGACCCATAATAAAAGAAGAAATTGAAGAAGTAATTTAAAAAAAACTCCCAATAATTTTTTTTTTTTTTTTTAAAGCCATAGCCTAGTTGGCTCCATTGGAGAATTCTACCAAACATTCAGAAAAGAGTTGACACTCATTCTACTCAAATTATCCCAGAATGTAGAAAATGAACATAAATGGTCCCTAATTCATTCCATGAAGCCAGCATAACCCTGATACCAAAGCAAGACAAAAACACCACTATAAAAGACAATTGTAAACCAAAATCCCTCATGAATGTAGATACCAAAATTCTCAACAAAAATCTAGCCACCAGAATTAAGCAGCATATCAAAAGAATAATACATGATGATTAAGTGGCATTCACACCCGGGATGCAAGTACGATTCAGCATTAGAAAATCAGTCACTGTATTTTACCACGTAAATAAAACAAAGAAAGAATCACATGATCATCTCAATCGACAAAGATAAGGCCCTTTATATAATCCAACACCCTTCCTAATAAAAACTCTCAGAAAAATAGGTATAGAATAGAAATAGAAGGGAAATTCTTCAACATAATTAAGGGTATATATGAAAAACAAACACCCAATATATTACTGTCGGTGGAGAATGATTGAGAACATTCCCCTTGAGAACAGGAATGAGACAAGGATGCCTGTTATCATCACTCTTATTTGATATTGTTCTGGAAGTCCTAGCTGCAGCAATAAGGCAAGAAAGGGAAATAAAATGTATCTAGACTGGAAAAGAAGAAATAAAAGTATTCTTATAGTGCCTAAGGTACTTGACTGCTAACCAGAAGGCTAGCAGTTCAAACCCACCAGCTGCTCCTTGGAAGAAAGGTTGGGCAATCTACTTCCGTAGTGATACTGCCCCAGAAACCCAAGAAGGGGTCACTATGAGTTGGATCCTACTCAACAACAGTGAATTTATTTGCAGGTGACATGATCCTATAAATAGAAAATATCAGAGACTCCACACACACACACACAAAAAAAAAATGGAACTAATAGAAAGACTTGGCAAAATGGCAAGATATAAGATCAACATACATAGATCATTTGGGTTTCCCAACACTAACAATGATGACTCTGAAAAGGAAATCAAGAAATCAATACCATTTACAGTAGCAAAAAAAAGGTAAAATACCTAAGAATAAACCTAACCATGGACATAGAAGATTTATACAAGTAAAACTATAAAACACTACTAGAAGAAATAAAAGAAATCTACATAAATGGAAAAATATTCTATGCTCGTGGATTGGAAGAGTTAACATTGTGGAAATATCAATACTACCAAAGATCATCTGCAGATATAGTGCAATCCCAATCCAAATCATTCTTTATTGAAATGGAAAAACAAATGTCCAACTTTATTTGGAAAGGAAAGAGGCCCAAAATTGCTACAGCAATACTGAAGAAGAAAAACAAAGTAGTAGGCCTCACATTTCCCAATCTCAAAAGTTAATATAACTGAAACCAATCTCACTGCATTGAGTCGGATCCAACTCATAGCAACCTTCCTTGGGTTTCCAATTTGGTATCACTACTGCCCAATCTTCCTTCCAAGAAGTGACTGGTGGGTTTGAACCTCCAGACTTCTGATTAGCAATCAAATGCCTTAGGCACCACACCACCAAAGCATCAAAACAGTTTGGTACTAGTTCAATGACAGACACACAGGCCAGTGGAACAGAATGAGAACCTAGAAGTAAATCCATCCATCTATGGGCAGCTGATCTTCAACAAACCATCAAAGTCCATTCACTGGGGAAGAAACAGGAGCTTTAACAAATAGTGCTGGCAAAACTGGTTATCCATATACAGAAAAGTGAAGCAGAATCCATACCTCACACCACACCCAAAAACTAATTCAAAATAGATTAAAGACCTAAATATCAAAGGTAAAATATAAAAAAGATCCTGGGAGATAATATAGGACCAAAACTAAGGGACCTAACTTTTGGCATAAATCGCCTATTAAACATAACTAGTAACGCACAAACAACAGAAGTTAATTTAGATAATTGTTGTTGTTATGTGGTATTGAGTCAACTCCGACTCATAGTGACCCTGTGTACAACAGAACAAAACATTGCCTGGTCCTGTGCCATCCTCACAATCTTTGCTAGTCTTCAGGCCATTATTGCAGCCCCTGTGTCAATGAATCTCATTGAGGGTCTTTCCCTTTTTCGCTGACGCTCTGCTTTATCAAGTATGATATCCTTCTCCAGATACTGGTCCCTTATGACAGCATGACGGGGACCTCCGAAAAATTAAATATTATGCTCATCAAAAGAGTTTACTAAAAGACTAAAAAGAGAACTACAGACTGGAAAAAATCTTTGGTTGTGACCCACTAGCCACTCCTTGGAAGGAAAGTTGGGCAATCTATTTCCATAGTGATACTGCCTGGGAAACCCAAGAAGGGTCGCTATGAGTCAGCTCTAACTCTACTGCAGTGCAATATGACTAATTGGACAAGGGTCTAGTCTATAAAATATACAGAAAACTCCAACAATTCAACAACACAAAGACAATCATAGTAGAGAAGTTTGAGAAATATATGTGAAATAGAGGAAATTTAGGTAAAGAGTGTAGACAAAGGATAGCAATTAGATGTCATCTAAAGTATAAATCCCAGTTGATGGTGCCTAGGAGACTATGTCTCCACTTAGCAGGAAAGAGAGACATGATCAATTTGAGATCTTAACCACAGGCAAACATGAAAGGTGCTTGCTGTCTCCAAGGATGATTTTACATTTGAAAAGCTTAGCATGACTGGAAAGAGAGAGATGAATTTTAACAGAAAAGGGAAGCTTTGTTAGGAAAGTATTTATGTGATTTTATAACAAGATGATTGAAAAACAGTAAAGAATAGAAAATAGATGATACAATAAATCAAGGTCCTGGAGAGGATGAGAAAGGACAGATTAAGAATACAGATTGAAGAGTTCCCTTTCAAAGAGAAGAGGGACCTTCCTTCCTCTGCAACAGGAAAGTAGAAAGGCAGAGAATTGTGCCCAAAATCCAGCAAAAAGGGAACCTTCTACAGCCCAACTCCAGTCATTTCCCAAAGTGAATCATAAATTGACTCTCCTTTGTTTTAATTGCTCTTTATTGAGCATCTACCATGACTGATTAGGCAGGAGCTATGAGGATACATTAAAAATGTTTTTAAGGAACTTACATAATTTCTGTTGTTGCTGTGTGCTATTGAGTCAATTCTGACCCATAGTGACCCTAGCAAAGAGGAAAAGCATGGACTCAAATAATAACATAGTGTAGAAACAGAATGCAGTACCAAAAGGAGACCTGTAGATTTGAAGGGAATGAGAGAGATTGTTCTTGATAGGGGGGGAAAAAAATGCCTTATATATATACATATACACACACACATACTCTGGTAGTGTAGTGCCTAAGGCATTTGACTGCTAACCAGAATCAAGTAGTTTATTATCCTTTAAGTAGAATGAGCAAGAAGAGTAGATGCTATGCATTTTGCCATGTAAAATTTACACGTAGGAAAGATTTTTTTAGTGGTTCAAACCCACCAGCCACTCCTCAGAAGGAAGGTTGGGAGATCTACTTCTGTAACTATACTGCATACTGCCTTGGAAACCCAAAGAGGGGTCGCTATGAGTCAGATCTGACTCGACAGCAGTGAGTTTTGTTAAATATATATATATATATATATATATATACACACACACACACATATATGTATATATATATGTATGTATATATACATGTATATATAACTATTTTTAAGGTAGATCTGTTTTTGACAGATCTTCCATGTTCATCTGCCATTAGGTAGACATTACTGACAGGGAGAACTCCAACAGGCATTACTGCTACTTCATTATCCTGGAATTCATAGACCACTCAAATGAGTGAACCATCTTGCTGAAGGGACCAATGTTATAGGTCAATCTTCTTGAGTTTCCAACTGTATTTACAGCCTATACTAATCATTTCTTATAATTCAGGGTAGTGTGATGTTCATAAAGTCAGAAGAGGGGGATTAAGCCAATAAGCACAGGTCCATCACCACTAGTGGGTAAATTTAAACAGATACCTTCTAACGGCAGACTGGGAATATTAATGTAGCATATGAGAGCATGTCCACGCTGTCTTTCCTACGTGTACATTTTACATGGCAAAATGCATAGCATCTACTCTTCTTGCTCATTCTACTTAAAGGATAATTAAGTACTACTTGATTTCTAAATGACAAATCATTATATAAATTCATTTTATTTAAAAATAAGGTTTAAGGTCTTCTATTCACTCATGATCACCACGCTTTCATAATACTGTGTGTTTCCAAAGTATAGACATGTTTTTTAAATTACCATTTACATGGCATTACATGGCTAATCAATATTCAGTGCTTAAGTATGGAAAATATATCAGGATCCCCTTGCTTCACTGTCCTATCTGAAACAATTTAATTATTACATTTTCTAACCTCCATAACTCCCCTCTTCTAGCACATCCTGCTTTGCATGCCAATTAGAGTTAGGTGAAAACAACCTTCTTTTTTTTTTGCCTATGTGTGTTCTCCTGACCATACCCATCACAAGCATTTGTAGGACTGTCTGTCGTGAACTAACTCAGCCTTTGTTAAGATGATTGCATATTCTTGTATTCTGACCATTTCTGTGTTTTAATACTGGGCTGTTTTCTTTGCCTCTCCTTGTCAAGTTCTTGCCATGCATGAAAATGTTCTCAAGTGTCCTACTCCAGGCTGCACAGGGCGAGGGCATGTAAATAGCAACAGGAACTCTCACAGAAGGTAAGCAAAGCATTACTGGATTCTACACTGGAGGGAAAGCATTTCCCGACAGTGGCTTTCCTGGCAAACCCTTCTGAGGGAGTGTTCTTTCATGTGCACATCTCTTTCTTGCCAAAGGAGACAGATGGTCCTCAGTGTATCATTTTTAAAGAATTAAGAGTGCTGTCACGTAATGCATGGGAAAGACAAATAATTAGATTCCTTTTTTTTCTTTCCACACTTTGAATTTTTTTTAGTTGTCTTACCTACCTTGTCATGAGGCGATAACAGTCCCCTACAAGATGCTGCCTTTTTTATAATAGCTGAAATGGAAACCATGACCAGTTGCCACAACTAGGCACAATGGAGTAAAGGCTCGGTTATCCTCCATAGATGAAGAAGGGGCTGTTCTGCTACATATCATACAAAACTATGAATTAGAATACAGTAAAATGTTATATGACTTAAGCTGACTGCCCCTTGAAATTATTCTGAGGTTCCAGGTCATCAGTATGGATATGATCACAATACTAGCAGATGGCCAAAGTATTATTTAGTGAAACATTTGGGATGGTGGCATGCCAGGTAAATAGACTTTTTTGTAATACTGCTGCAAATAAGCAGACTCAGAAGCACACTTTGGTTCTTGACAAATTCCAGTGTACTTTTTCTGTCCTGGTCATATATTGGAAGAATTACTAAGTGGCTTGTAATATTCACTTCACATCAGATACTTTTTTATTCAGCATCTAAAAAGTGATTCTGTTAAAATTTGTCTCACAGTTTATGGCATCACCTTCCAGAAGTGATATAACATCATACCTGAATGATGGAAACGAAGTTTTACATTGCTTTTACTTTTTGCTTGTCTGACTGATAACTTTGGGTACTTAAGTTAAATTTATATTGAAACAAATCACACCTCTGTGCCTTTTAGAAATTTCCCTGTGCTTAATCTGCAGAAGGAAGAAATGATAAATAATTGAACTTGGTACAAAGTTCATACTGAGTGCAGTCTAATGTAGCATTTACAATATCATTTTCTTCGTCAAATCTTAACCTAATCATATATTTTCAACACATTACATAGAGTATCTGTACAGATGTGTAGATATATTCATAGATAAGTATATAGCAGACATCATGATTTCATGAGCTAAGCTCAAACACAAAAGAGTCCATCTTTAATCTCTTCCTGATAGACCAAATCCAAAATGTTTATTTCCAGGAAACATTTTATTGCAGTCCTAGAGTTTATTCTGATATCTTTCCTATTTCATTTCTCTCTTTGGACAACAAAAAGAGCTAAAGTCAGACAGAAAAGCAACATCCATATCAGTCAATAATTTTTACAGAATCAGCTTAGAGCTCCACCTTCTGGTCTCAGTCAGTTAATTGTCATTCTTGAGTGTCTTAAAAGCTCATCCTATACCTGCTACCTCCAGAAATAGTAACTATCCAGAATGAAACCTGAAAACTTAATTGGCTCATGTTATCTTGAATGATGTGGCTATAATTTGAAAGAATTTAGTGTACTTTACACATGGCACTGTCATCAGCATTGTGCATTGGAAGTCAAAAGGAAAACATGCAAACTAGAAACACTTATTTCTTTGCCAAATAAAAGAAAAACAATCTCCCTTTCCAAATGCATTTTATAAGGAATGCCCATGACAGGTTTGAGAAACTTCTCACTTTTTGGACTCTTCTGGTGCTGACTAAGGGAGAGAAAGTAAAAGGTTGGTAATTGGATCAGTGTATTGTGAAACTATTGGAGACAAGACCATTAAATTCCCTTTCTGTAATTGCAGCCTCTCTGGATGCCCTATTGCTGCAGCAGAGAAACTGGCAAAGGCCCAAGAAAAGCACCAGAGCTGTGATGTGTCAAAATCCAATCAGGCATCAGACCGAGTCCTAAGGTATTTCAAAAACATGAAATGTATCATTTCCAAGACCATTCATCTAAACCCAATCCAAAAGATTCTTCAAAGTGCTTGGGATACTAGATAAGATTGATTTTCTAAACTAGTGACAGAAGTAAAGGGTGGTAACTGGACTGGAAGTCAAAAGACCTGGTTCCCACATCTAGCTCAGTAAATAATGGCGGTGTAAGGGTCAGGAAAGTATCTGGATGGCACAAATGGTTAAACTCTCAACTACTAGGTTGGCATTTCAAACTCACTAGATGAACTTTGGAAGAGAGGCCTGGCAAAGTGCTTTCAAAAGATGCTAGCCTTGAAAACCCTGTGAAGCAATTCCACTCTGCACAGGTGGGGTCACCTTGAGTTGCAACTGATTTGATAACAACTAGCCACTCCTCGGAAGGAAGGTTGGGCAATCCTACTTCCGTAGTGATACTGCCTCGGAAACCCAAGGAGGGGTCGCTATGAGTCGGGGCCGACTCGACGGCACATAACAACAACAACAACAACAACAACAAAAACAGCCAGGGATAGGAAGTCATTTCACCTCCCTGGGTCTCCTTTGACTCACTGTCATTTCCAAAATGGGAGAATTGGACAAAATTTTTTCTGCCTATTTTTCCAGCCCTGATATTTCACGATTCTAAAAAGCTAGAAGAAAGTGGAGCCTTAAAAATTAATGAGATGCCCAAAGTAACTTTATCCTAATTTGAAAGGGAGGCATAGTCAACCTACAGGATGGTGCTAATGTTTTTGAAAATGTGATAGTGATGGTAATACCACCTTACACTTTCATGTAAAAAAAAAAAAAAAAAAAAGCCTTCAAAGCTGTCATCTCCTTTTATCCTCAGACACCCCTGTGTGGTAGGTGGGAGTGGGTGTTATTATCCCCATTTGACAAGCAAGAAAATCTGAAGTGCAGAGAGGTTAACTGACTTATCTGAAATCACTTAATCACTGAATGTTAAAATGGGAAAGGATCTACTGCTTTTTTAAGCCTATGAAAGGATAATCACTGGGTCAGAAGAAGGCCAAAACCCTTATCGCCTACTTTCATTTTTGTATATTCCCTTCAAATTTCTGTCTGCTTGAAAACCAACCTAACCATTGTATAGTCTAGCTTTTTACTTAATTGTTGTTGTTATGTGCCGTTGAGTCATACCTGACTCATAGAGACGCCTGCACCAGAAATATCTTTCCCTGTCTTTATATAGTCATCAAATTTGTCATTTTAATAGGTAAGTACTTTCTACTGTATGGATGCAACATCAGTGATAAAACTAATTTCTAGCACTGAGATTGTTTCCAAATTTACTATTAAAGAGAGAGTAATAATAAACATTTTTGTGTATATAGTATTTTGCTTCTGTTAATTATTTTTTTTAAGATAAATCACTTGAAAAAAATTGCTAGGCAAGAGTTATGAATATCTTCTTTGCTCTCATTGTGCATCATTTCACAACTTTCTTAATGGATTAATTTACCACAGTAATTAAAGTCTCTTTTTCTCTCTTAATAGAAATGTTAAAATCTTTATAGAAAATGTGAAATATATATAATAAAATAAAAACCATCAATGACCCTTCCATTCAGAAATAATCCCTCAAAAAATGTGATTATATGTACTTACAACTTTTTCTATGTAATTTGTTGTTGTTATGTGCCATCGAGTCAGACTTGACTCATAGCAACCCCTTCTTGGGTTTCCAAGGCAGTATCACTACGGAAGTAGATCACCCAATCTTCCTTCTGAGGAGTGGCTGGTGGGTTTGAACCACCAGCCTTCTGTTTAGCAGTCAAGTGGCTTAGGGACTATGTGACCAGAGCTCTCTTTCTACGCATTAGTGTCACTGCTTTAAAATATAATCAGTATACCAATATTTCCATCACTGTAACTCACTCATTTTACAAATGATAAAACTGAATACCATTTGCCCAACTCTCCCATAAATCCCATTCACAGCCATCAGTGTTTGGCAGAGACGAAGTGATTATTAGTGAAAGGAATATTTGAAAAAATATGTAGAGAGACTTTTGAACTAAAAGATCTTCTTCATTTTCTTTTGCCTACTTTGGCCAGACCTCCAGAAGGCTAGAAAGAAACCCTTGGTCAGCATCCTTCTTGGAATAGTTACCAGAGATGTGTTGCACTGTACATTTAAGTGTGGTTTTGATTTCACTGCCAAATAAACAAAAAAAACAAACACACTGCCATAGAGTCAGATCCGACTCATAGCAATCCCTCCTTTTCCAAAGTGGTATCACTATGGAAGTAGATTGCCCAACCTTCCTTCAAAGGAACAGCTGGTGGGTTTGAACCTCCAGCCTTCTGGTTAGCAGTCAAATGCCTTAGGCACTATAGTACCAGAGCCAAATAGTTAGCATGCATTTAAATGAGAAACTCCATTGATAAGAAATGTGTTTAATTTCCAATATTGCCTTGTTCAAACAGAAGACTGTTTTTATGTGGAAGCTTAAGCAACAGGCTTTTCTATTATTTCTGTGGCTATATAACTTAAGGATCCCTTTCATCAAGTGAATGCAATGGAAACCTACATTGAATGTCAACAAAGCAAGTAGCTATGGAACAAATATTGTTCCTCTACAAAACAATTTTCTTTATGTGCCTCCTACTGGGTTTAGGTTTACCATTGGCCAGAATCTTTAACAAAAAGAAATAATCCTACCCCAATGATCAATAAGAATCCCTAAACATTATCTGGTTGCTAAGGCACAACGTGACTGCTGGGCTGTTGGATGGGCCTTACATTTAAAAGCTCTGGTGGTGTAGTGTCTAAGGCACTTGACTGTTAACCAGAGGCTGACAGTTCAAACCTACCAGCCATTCCTCGGAAGGAAGATTGGGCAATCTACTTCTGTAGTGATACTGCCTCAGAAACCTAAGGAGAGGTCATTATGAATCGGATCCAACTCAACGGCAATGAGTTTGGTTTTTTGGTTTGGTGGCATAGGTGCAATGCTTAAGGCATCTGACTGCTAACCAGAGGGTGGCTTTTCAAACTCACCAGCTGCTTCTCTGGAAGGAAGATGGGGCAATCTACTTCTGTAAAGATTTACCACCTCCAAAACCCAGTGAGGGTGGCTATGAGTCATGATCGGGAGCTCTGGTAGCATAGTGGCTAAGACACTTGCCTGCTAACCAGACGGCTGGCAGTTCAAACCCACCAGCCACTGCTCAGAAGGAAGGTTGGGCAATCCTACTTCCGTAGTGATACTGCCTCGGAAACCCAAGGAGAGGTCGCCATGAGTCGGGGCCGACTCGACGGCACATAACAACAACAACAACAACATGAGTCATGATCAGCTTGATGGCAGTGGGTTTTGTTTTCATTCTTTTGATGGCATAGTGGCTAAAGCATTTGGCTCCCAACAAAAAGGTTTCTGGTTTGAGCCTACCAGTTGCTCCATGGGAGAAAGATGAGACAGTCTGCTTCTGTAAAAGATTTATTGCCTTTGGAATCCTATGGGGCAGTTCTCTGTCCTAAAGGGTCACTATGATTCAAAATTGATTTTATGGCAGTGGGTTTGTTTTTTTCTAGGGTTTTTATGTGTTCCCCAGTTGAAAAGAAATGTATCTCAAACACTGAGTTTTCAGCCCATGAATGCCTCAAGCAGGAGGTCTCTGTCTTAGTCATCTTTGTATTACCCAGAGATTCTAGAACACAGAGGTGCTCATTTAATGGGGTAAGGAAAGAGACTAGAAGGAAGAGATAAAACCTATTATCATTTAACCAGTTAAAGTGTTGTTTTTTTAAAAAAGAAAACCTTTAAATATATTCTGCAATAAAACATAAGACTTATGTAAGCACTTTCAGTCTTGCTCAACTTTTTAATCCTGTTTCCAACATTCTAGACCACAGACCCTATTACAGCCTCCATTTTGTCACTGGAAGTACTGCCTAATTGATGCCTCTAGTTGCAGTCTCCCTTCATCTGCCTAATCTTCATGTTTTTAAGGTTTAGAGATTATGCTTCTCCCTGGCCCAAAATTTTTACCTTTGCCTACTAGATGAATGAATTTACTACTAATCTGGCCTCCAACTACCATATTGTTTGCTATTCTGGTGATGTAGTGGATAAAGTATTTCGCTGCTAACCAGAAGTTCAGTGGCTCAAACCCACCAGCTGCTCCATGGAAGTAGGATGGGGCAATCTACTTCTGTAAGGATTTACAGCCTCAGAAACCCAATAGAGGTCGCTATGAGTTGTCATACTCAATGGCAGTGAGTTTGGTTTAGTTTTTGGTATTCCCAAGGAATGTTTCGATCTAATCTTTCTAGTTTCTTTTATTAGAATGTTTTCTTGTCCTACCCAAAACCTCAAACTTAAAATTCTACCCATTCTACAAAACCTAATTCAAACTTTGTCTTCTCCAATAAAACTTAACTGATCCCTATGGTTGAAAGTGATGTCTTTTTCTTAGAATTCTCATAGCACTTTGACTGTTAAATTGCTGTCACATTCCATGTGACCTCAGAAGTCAAGGCCTCAGGTTTTATTCATTTATGCAGCCACCTTATCACCTGGTAAAATGCTTTGAAAATAATAGCCAGTCAATTAATTCTTACATATTTTTTGATTTGACAAGAGATTAATATGCTAAATTAATAAAATAAAAATAAATGAGTTGGTGATTTGGTAAATAAGTCAGATATCTAACCATGTTCAACAGAAGGAGGTATTTCCTGGTCTTGCACCATCCTCACAATTGTTGCTATGTTTGAGCCAATTGTTACAGCCACTGTGCCAATCAATAACCATTACTAAGTCACTGTAAAAGTAACATAGATAAATTATTAAGGAACATATCAAAAAACCTTTTTAAAGTGTTAAAAAGCAAAGGTGTTGCCTTGAGGACTAAGGTGCTCCTGATCCAAGCCATAGTATTTTCATACGCATGCAAAAATTGGACAATGAATAAGGAAGACAGAAGAAGAATTGATGCATTTGAATTATGGTGTTAGCAAAGAGTATTGAAGACAACAAACAAATCTGCCTTGAAAGAAGAACAACCAGATGTTCCAAAGAAGCAATGGTGGCAAGACTTCGTCTCATGTACTTGGCACATGTAATCAGGAGGGACCAGTGTCTGGAGAAGGACATCTTGCTTGGTAAAGCGGAAGGTCATCGCAAAAGAGGAAGATCCAGAGCAGGATGAATTGACGCAGCGGCTGCAGTGATGTGTTCAAACATGGCGGTGATTGTGAGGATGACGTGACCAGGCAGTGTTTCATTCTGTTTCACATAGGGTCACTATGAGTTGGAATCAGCTCAACCGCACTTAACAACAGCAATAACATATAAAAGCTGACTTACATTTTTCAATAAAAAGAAATCTAGTCATTAAGTTTGTAACAGCCCTCAACCCAATCTAAATTTTAAAATAATCAAATAAGAAAAAAATTATTTATAAGAATGCTTACTAGGTAGTTTATAATAGCATATATATCAGATATTACATAGAATATACAAGGAGGCCTGATAACTCAATGATACGCAGCTGCTTACAAAAAGTTTGGAGGTTCAAATCCACCAACAGAAGAAAAGACCTGGTGATCTGTTCTTATAAAGATTACAGCCTAGGAAACCTTATGGGGCAGTTCTACTCTGTCCTGTAGGGCTGCTATGAGTCAGAACTGACTCGATAACACACAACAATATATAATATGTATGTTATAACCTGTAACAGCATGTATAATAGCAAAATAAACAATGTAAAGCTGGAAAATAATTAAATAATTACTATATTCATTTATTTTAATATCATACAACTATTAAGAACTGTTTATTTGTTTTTTCTTAACCTCTAAGCTGCAGAAGGGAAAATTAAACACCATATAAAGTTAAGGGTAAAATACGTAAAAGTATAAGATTCTGATAACAATTTAAATGAATATAAAAATAACCACAAAAGAAAATACACTCAGCTTTAGCAGTTTTTATCTCTGAGAGAATTATTATTGTTGTTATGTGCCATCAAGTTGGACCAGACTCATAGCGACCCCTCCTGGAGCTTCCAAGGCAATATCACTATGGAAGTAGATAGCCCCATCTTCCTTCCAAGGAGTGGCTGATGGGTTTGAACCGCAAGCCTTTGGTTAGCAGTCAAGTGCCTTAGCCACTATGCTACCAGAGTTCCCAATGAATTGTGTAGTACTTTCATAATCATTAAAAGCAGAACAATATTTTTCAAAATCTTTATTTGTAAAGCAAGTACGGATCTTCTATGTTTACATATATGCTCAATCGTTAGAAAGAGAGAGGACACAAAATAAAGTCTATTTATTTAGATATTTAAACAATACTTGTGGAAATAAGTTAGGAAAGAACAGACCTCTTAGGTTACTGTCCTGCAGGGAGAACTAATCAGCTCATTATTTTCACTTCTATTGTCAAAGAAAGTTTTCTGCCTTCACAGGAGAAATTCATATCTGCCAGTGTCCTAATTTCATTTTTCGCTAAAATTTCACACTTCTGTTTCAGGAACAGGTAACACTTGCAGATCTGATACCAGTAATCAAGAAATGGGATCTTATTCAAAAAATTATCATCTTCATAAATTGGCTGTAAACCTAACACTAACACATGAACTCACCACATTTTGTTTTTCCTTCAAAAGCATTAGCCTCTGCTAGATCATTATTTTAAAACATTTTACGTAATTTAAAAAGATAAGGAGTAAATCATCAGAAAAGTTTCTGCCTTTAAAATTCAGGGGTTTATTTTATTTAGTGTGAAAAAATAAGTACTTATACTTATGTGAAAATATAAGTACTTTTTATAAATATTTTACATTGAGAAAAGTACATAAAATGGCTTATTAAACAATGGAATTCTACATTTAAGTGTTAGTGTCTATATCTGTTCTACAAAATAACTGACCAGTACTTTTTAAAAGTGTCAAAGTCATGAAAAACAGGGAATAAGTGGTAAACAGTGACAGATTGAGGAGAATAAGAGGACTTGACAACTAAATGCACTGCAAGATCCAAGACAGAATCCTGGAATAGAAAAGGACACTACTGGAAAAGACTGGTGAAAAACAAATAAAGTCTATGGTTTAATTGCTAATATTATACTACTATTAATTGGTTTTAGTAATTGTCCTGTGAGTATGTAAGATGTTAACATTAGGGAAGTTGGGTGAAAGGTATAAGGGAACTGGATACTGCTTTTGCAACTTTCTGTAGGTCTAAAATTATTTCAAATAAAAAGTTTAGAAGTGCTACCTATAAAAATTGATAAATAGATAGAGACACATAGATACTTAAACAAAGTAGAATATCAATGAATGAATAATAATCAAGTGTGCCTCCATTTAAATAATTTTATTCCAAAAATAAATGACTAGTAGGTAAAAATGTTGAAAGTATATGCTGATATTTGTCAAAATATATGATTGCATAATCCATTTTATTGTCGCTAGATATAGATACCTAATTTTGTCTCAGTAAATGTTCCTGAGAGTACTTCTTTCATATCTTCTTCTTCCTTTTTTTTTTTTTTTTTTTGAGGGAAATTTCTTCCTACCTCATTTCATTTATGTGTAACTTCTAATACTGTTTGCTACTGTAAAGGAAAATGCACAGATGTGAGATTCTTTACCCATCTTCATAATCCACATCTTCATCATGCATAGTAGACCTCTTAAAAATAAAAATTTTAATATTTTATCCTTGTCCTTTTAATTGTTAAAGTGACTTATAAACAGATAACTTATTTGGTTCTATACAATTAAAATACACTTGGTCCTTTCTCAGGGAAATAAAATTATGATTTTCGTGAACGTTTTTAATTCCTTAATGCAATTAAGAAATGTTGTTCTCATTTTAATTCAAATCGTATCTTATACAGGGCCACAATAAAGCAAACTATTGTTTTCTTTTACTTACAGGCCAATGTGCTTTGTAAAACAACTAGAGATCCCTCAGTATGGCTACAGAAACAATGTTCCCACAACCACTCCTCGTTCCAACTTGGCCAAGGAACTTGAGAAATATTCCAAGACTTCGTTTGAATACAACAGTTATGACAACCATACTTATGGCAAGCGAGCCATAGCTCCCAAGGTGCAAACCAGGGATATATCCCCCAAAGGATATGATGGTAGGAGGTGCACACTCTTATACATGAGAGACACGTTTGCCGTTAATAATGTTGTTGTTGTGTATATCCATTTCCTACAAACTAATCAAGTATTTGTGGTCACTTGATGGGTATCAAGAGAATACCATATTCACAGCATGGCATCGTGTGTTTAAAGTATGACACAAATGTGGGTAAATAGCAACCTGGTAGATGGAGAGGGAGGGAAAGGAAATGTTCTTCCCTTAGTATCGCCAAAGAAACACATTCTTGCTGCTTTCAGAATGTGAATATAGAGAAGCCATTGGCTCATTATTTTGCATGGTATTGTGGTACAGTGGTTAAGCACTTGGCTCCTAACTGAAAGGTCAGCAGATTGAACCCACCAGCTGCTCCATGAGAGAAAGATGAGTCAGTCTGCTTCCATAAAGATTTACAGCCTTGTAAACCCTGTGAGGCAGTTCTACTCTGACCTATAGGGTCTCTGTGATTTGGAATTAACTCGACTCATTGACGATGCATTGGGTAAGATAGTGTCCTTAGCTTAAAAAATCACTTTTGAATGGATAGACACAAGACAAATAACAGTGAAAGATAGCAGGAAAACTCCTGAGTTCCTGGCTTTTCTTGAGAAGCTTTGTGTTTCCTCTGTATTCTCAAACTTGGATGTACATTAGATTAACCTGTGGAGATTTTTAAAAACTCTGATGCCCAGGCTGCACCCTAGATCAATTAAATCAGAATTTCTGGGGGTATTCCCAATGCAATGGCATTTTTTAAAAAGCTTACCTATGATTAATCTGCAGCCAAGGGTTGACAACTACTGCTTTATCTAGTCTCTACAGCAGCAATTTCAGTGATCCTCTGCTTGTACTCTAATTGGGCATAGAGAGGGAAAAAAAGGGAAGTCTCAGAGTGGCTTCCAGGTTATGACATAACTTTGATATTTGCTGCATTCATGGCCTCAATGGACTATACCAATAAAGTAAAATTGATAAAACAAGTAAAATACTACATATTATACAAGAAAAAAGAGGAATTTATTTGTCACACACTATTTCTTAAACCCACTATCAACTGTGTAAACTAGTTACTTTTACATCATCTGACAAATAGTTTAACATTAGAGGGGAAGGTGATAGTCCTTTGATTTTACTTATATATATATATATATATATATATATATATATATAACATGCTTCTGCTTTGGATTCCAGGAGATATGGACTTTGCTTGCAAATTTTAAGGTGTACAAGTTTTGATAATTTAAACATCTTATATTGGTATTCTCTAGCAGATGAAAAGAGATAGGTTTTTAAAGATTATTGAACTCTACTTTGAAAAAGTTATTTAATTAAAATCAAGTACACAAAAAAATTTCATTTAGATTGATGCTTGGGAAATTCTGAAACCTTTTTTCAATTCAATACCAGTGGCTGCACATCTTTCTAAGCTATTTCTTACCTAAATAATAATTAATTATTGTACAGTGAATGTAATTTTATATTTCTTCAATGTGTCATATATTGATTATACTTGTGTATGTCAGTTCTTGATATATAGGAACATAGGTATAAGTGGAAGAAAAGTAGTAGGTATAGAATATAACAGAGAAGAACTAGTTTTGTTTTATTGTTTATTTTGTAATAACTTTCCAGTTTCAGGTTTTGTTGTAATTTAGTTCATTCAGTTATAAATGAAGGCTCAAAACAAATTACAACCACATAATTGATGATACTTCTTATTTGATTTCCAGTTCATTCATATTTTATAGTAATTCTATTAATATCATTAATAGATGTTCATTTTTACCCATATACTTATTTTGTTGTTGTTGTTGTTCTGTGGGGCCTAGTCTCTTTAAGCTTATTTCTTATGATTAGATTGTAACCTTAGAATAAAAGGGGACTTCTGGATAGTCATAATCAGAAAGCACATTTTCGTGGTCAAAATACAGTTAAGTGAACTCAGAATCAAGCAAACCTACCTGGTTCTATTCTCAGTACTACCGTTTATGAGCTGTGTGATACTGGACAAATACATCTTTCTGTGTTTTAGTTTCCTCAAGAGTAAAGTAGGAGTAATAATTTCTACCCTCTAATCTCATAGGTTTGTTGTGCAGATCGATTGAAATAGTCTGTTTGGATGCACTTTGCCAATCTGTAAGAGGTTTAACAAATGTACACCAATTAACATTATTAATTCTGACGTACCCTAGCAAAATACTTTCTATCAGAAACTTAGGCATATTAATGTTTTTCAGTTGATCTACAGAAAACAAGAATTCCTGAGCACACAGAACAAAAACCTCAATATAAGGTCTTTGGGAAACCAAGAAAAACAGTCTCACCATAATTTACTGAGAAGAAAATCAACCAAACTCTATTTCTGTTGCACAAGATTCATCTGATAGATTCTTAAAACATCAAGAAAAGTACCAACTAAGAATGAGATTCCCTGGGTCAGGACTATCAACAGGATATGAGCTGGGAGGAATCATAATTGTACTTTGGCAACAAGCAGTAGATATAGAGAATTACTACATAGAGCTACCTTGGATCTTCCCCAAGATCCTGCTTCAGGTGCCCAAATAATTGAGTCACTGCTCTTAGAGGCAGTGAAATGAGCTTATTTGGGTCAAGAGAAGCAAAATGTTTAGGGAACAAGAAGACAGAGCCATGCATATGAGGAAGGAGGTAGAAGATGGAACCCCTCTCTCCAGTCTCTGGATATCATCTCTTAGATGACACCAACTGTGATTGAAACATTCAACAAACATTTATTTCACTACCTACATTTTCCCAGAAACTAAGCCATTTGCTATCTATCAATCAACTGGTTGATTGAGCCATTGATCTATCTGTGTACTTATTTACTTATCTGTCTATTGTTTTCTTCTTAATAATAAGTTTCAAGAAAGAGATTCCAAAAAAATACAAGATAGTGAAATGCACATTAACAATACAGTGAAGCAAGGAGTCCATTCTACTGGAAGGAATTAGCATAAGTATTACCAAAGCAGTAAATTTCAAAGTAGATCATGAAGTTCAGTAGAAATTGTATTTCTGTGAAGGCAAGGAAACACATGGGTTCATAGCATTTCTTTTCAGTTCAGTCACGTCCAAGGAGGCAAAACTAAAATAGACCCAAATTTTTAAAGTTCAGGTGAACAGGTACAATATAAACAAGGAAAATTATAGGTCAAAGCCCTGCTTGAAAATCTCCTTCTTAGAAAACAAAGGCAATTTACACTTCGAGGTAGCATAGTGCCTAAGGCACTTGAGTGCTAACCTGAAAGTTGGTGATTCAAACCCACCAGCCACTCCTCGGAAGGAAGGTTGGGCAATCTACTTCCATAGTGATACCTCCTCAGAAACCCAAGGAGGGGTCGCTATGAGTCACGACTATGAGTCGGGGGCCGACTCGATGGCGCATAACAACAGCATAGCAACTAAATCTATTGTTAGATTTTGAGCCCAGTCGGAAACAGTGGTGCCCCACCCAAACATAGTGACCTATTATGCCTCTTTGAATGTGTGTCAAATAATTCAGTCTAATGTATCAGGCTCCTGAAAGCGATCATTATGCCTGTTCTCAGTTTTCCATTCCAGAGCTTTGATCCATAATTTTTCCTGTTATGGTTATCATTCTGGATCATCCAAATTTGAAAAATTTGGATCTGTTTGGGTTTTGCTTCATCAATCATGACTGAACTGCTTCGAGCTTTTTCAAAGCCCTGGTCAATAGAAATTAACAGTGGCTTGATGAGGCTAGCATTAAGGTGCCTCAGAGGAAAGAAGAGAAAACAATTGTGGAGACATCTAAGGAACCAACGCATTGCTTTGTTTGTCATGCTGAGGCATTTGGGACTCTCCTTTAGGACTTGGAAATCCATGCATGAGTAATTAGTAAGAAGGAAAAGGTTAAGAAATCATGTGTCTACATGATTCCCAAACCTGTATCTCTGACTCTGTCATCTCATGTGAGTTCCAAACCCACATTTTTCCTTGGCTTAATTCAAGGGTCACAAACCACAGTGCACAAGCCAAATACAACCTCACCACTGACGGCGAGCTAAGAATGAATTTTACATTTTTTAAAAGTTGAAAGAAATCCAAAGAAAAGGATATTTTGTGACATGTAAAAATTATAAGAAATTAAATTTCTGTGTCCATAAAGTTTTACTGGAACACTGCTACCCTCAATCATTTTCTACTGTTGCTTTTAAGCTACATCAGTAGAGCTGAGTAGTTGTAACAAAGAATATATGGCCTGCAGAGTCTATCTGGTCCTCTGCAAAAAAAAAAAAAAAAAGTTTGCCAACCCCTGGTCTAAAACATCTCCACTTCTATCTCCAGGCAAAATTTCACACTCAGTTTGTTTAAAACATACTAAATTCCCAGTCCAGAAATGAACTCCCTCCCACAATTCTCCCTTTTAAATCCTCTAAAGACTAAAACTTTCTGATCTTTGAACTTCTTCCTTTTCCATCCTGACATTTAACATTACCCTGATTTGCTCAGCCTCTCCATCTTACTGTCATTACCTTTGTCCAGATCACAACACCTCAACCCCTTCTCAGTACGACTGCATTGGGCAGTCTTTCCCTAGTTATCCACCCACCCAACATCTTGCATTAACTATTCCTCCTAAAAGAACTTCCCTACCCCTCTACACACCTGCCCCACTTCATTCCAACCTCTGGAATTGACTGATCTTCCCTCTAGAGGAAAAACTAACAGTCTTTATCCAGTCATACACTCCATATTCGACATCTGCTTCCAGAAACATCCCCTTTATTAAGTTCTCTCTGACCAAATTCTATCCTAGATTCAGCTGCCCTTCTCTGAACTTAGTTTACCAATATTGTTTGTGCAGAGCATTTTACCCTTTATAATTATCTTTACCACACAGCATAACACTGTGTCTTGTCCTTTAGTAATTTTATGTGCAAATGTTTTTGTTCCACTAGATTGTAAACTTCTTGTGGACAAGAGGCCTTATCTTAAAATTCTTTTCAA